TTTTTAGTTTTAATAAATTAAATTAAAATTAAACAAAACCAAATTATAATCTATATTAGAGATAAAATTATTTAAATATTTTCTGTACATCGCATGGGTTTATAGCTTAATAATTATAAAAGTTTTACTATATATTTATTTTATTTTAAAATAATATTTAAAAATTTTATAAGTTTATTCCTGTATATTATTGCATGAGTTTACAACTAGTAGAATTAAAATAAAAAAAATTTAATTGGATTTGAATAACTAGTTGTCGAGAAATATTCATTGAGGGCTAAAAAAAAGTGTTGCTACAGCTTTTTTTTTAAAGACATTACAAAGATTACTTGGCATTTATCTAGTCAAATTCAACCAAAATTTTTTTATTTTTTTATATTTTTTGGTATTAAAGGTGAGGCCAAAATTTTTTTATTTTAATTCTATAAGCTTATATAATTAAAATAAAAAAAATTTGGTCAAATTTAACTAGATAAGTGTTAAGTAATTATTGTTCAAAGTTTAAATACCTATAAAAAAAAAGCTGTAGTCAAATTGTTTTTAGCTTTTAATAAATATTTCTCGACAACTAGCTATTTAAATTCGATCAAAATTTTTTATTTTAATTTTATGAACTTCTAGAATTAGAATAAAATAAAGTTAGTCAAATTCAGATGATTAGTTGTCATGAAATTATTATTCAAAGTTTTTAAGTTTTTTTTTAAAAAAATAGTATAACAAAATTTTTTTTTAAACTTTAAAAGAAGATTTCTTAACAACCAAGTATCTGAATTTGATGAATTTTTTATTTTTAATTTTATGGTTCATAGAATTAAAATAAAAAAATTTTGATTAAATTTGAATAGCTAGTTGTCAAAAAATATTTATCAAAAACTAAAAAAAATTTGATTGCAGCTTTTTTTTTTTTACAGGCACTTAAACTTTGAACAATGATTACTTAACACTTACCTGGTCAAATTTGATCAAATTTTTTTTATTTTAATTTTATAAGCTTATAGAATTAAAATAAAAAAATTTTGGTTGAATTTGACTAGGTAAATACCAAGTAATCTTTATTCAACAGTTTAATGTCTTTAAAAAAAAAGCTGCAGCAAACTTTTTTTTTAGCTCTTAATAAATATTTCTCGACAAGCTGTTAATCAATTTTTTTTATTTTAATTTTATAAACTTCTAAAATTAAAATAAAAAGAAGTTAGTTAAATTTGAATAGTTGGTTGTCAAGAAATTTGTATTTAAAGTTCAAATAAAAAAAAATCATATGATTTTAGTATTTTTCCAAGATAATTTAAGTATTTTTAATAATAAAATAAAAAAAATTACCAAATTTGATTATGTAGTTATCAAGAAAACATCATTAGAAGTTTTAAAAAACTTTTAAATCATCTTTTACAGTATATATGTGTAATGATCTATAATTGACAATATGCTTAACCTGGTACACATTTCAAATATGCACTTTTACACAAAGTATTGATTTTCATATAATAGTAAATTTGTCAATCTTTATGTTTACATCTTTATTTCAAGAACTACTGGTCTAATTTTGATAATCTAACTATCATTTGACTCAGAATTATTCTCTTCAAAATATCTTTATTTAATAAATTCTTGCACAAACTTAAAGAACCCATTTCAGAACCTACTTTGGATTCAAAGTAAACCAACCTACTTTGGGTTTAAAGTAAAACCACTTTAGGTTCTAAGTAACTCACTTCGGATTCAAAGTGAGCCCACTTTGGGTTTAAAGTAAATCCACTTCAGGTTTAACAAAAACCTACTTCGGGTTCAAAGAGAACCCACTTCAGGTTCAAATGGGACCCACTTTGGGTTCAAATGAGACCCACTTTGAATTCAAAGAGAACCCACTTTGAGTTCAAAGAGGACCCACTTTGGGTTTAAAAAAAACCAATTTTGGTTCAAAAAAGGCCAGCTTTGGTTCAATGGAGACAAACTTTGGGTTTAAAGAAGACTATATTTGGATTCAAAGAGGACTAGCTTTAGGTTCAAAGAGAACCAATTTCAGGTTAAAAGGGAACCAATTTTGGGTTCAAAGTAAACCAACTTTGGACCCTCAGTTTAAAATAACTAATTTTTAGATTTAAAATAAATTAAACTTTATATAGTATACAGTATATAATTATTTTAAATTTAAATTTTTTTACATTATTGCATAGGTTTACAACTAGTCTATATATTAAAAAAATTTTTACTTATTTTATTAAATAGAAGTTTTTAAATATCTATTTTATTTTTTAATTTCAAAATTTTAATACAATTAAATTTTTCTAAAATTTTAGATCAAACTTAAACATGTTTATAAATTTTTAAATTCAAATCAAACTTTATTAAAAAGTTTGATTTTAATCTACTTCAAATATTTTTTTAAAAATAGTTTGAGTTTGGGTTTGTTTTAAAAATCAAACCAGATTACTGGTCTAAAGTTTGATTTGATCTAATTTAATAAAAACTTTATTGATATAGCTTTTTTATTTTGATAGATATTTTGAGTTTTTTTTTAAACTTTGAATAAAAATATCTTGACAATTACCTAATTAAATTCAAAAAACTTTTTTTTTATTTTGATTATAAGTTTAGATAAATTTAATAAAAAAGATTTTATTGAATTTGGTTAGAAAATATCAAGATATCTTTATTTAAAGTTTTAAAAAATTATTTTATTAGATATTTTAAGTAGTTTTTTTTTTAAATTTAAGCAAAGATATTACAACAGCCATTATCTGACCAAATTTGATAAATTTTTTTTATTCGAATTGACTAAACACATAGAATCAAAATAAAAAAAATTTTATTAAGTGGATCTTCTATAGTATAGGTGGGCAATATAGAAATATTATAAGATTATAATATATAAAAACTCTAACCCTAACCTTAAACTAACCTTAATTTAAACTCACTCTAACCCTAACTATTTATAAATTTGCTTAAATTAGTTCTAATATATATTATATATAATCTTATAATAATTCTATATTGCCCACCTATACTATAGATCAGCCAATAGGATTTTTGCATCAAAGTAAAATAAAAATTTTTTTATTCTATAAAATTATAAAATTCGAATAAAAGATTTTTATTTAAATTTGGTTACTAACGCTAAAAACAAAATATTATCCAATCACGATTCCGACCTGGAAATTGAGAACTCCATAACTTATCACGGTAAGTTAAAAATTTACTACTAACAACTCTAGTTAAATTAGAGTTAAATTATTGTTAGTGTAAGGTTTTAGACTAAAAAACTTATATATACCAAAAATTATTAAAGCACGAAAAACGGTTTATAATTTTAGTAATTTTGTGTCGATCATCGACAAAAACTGGCACAGATTTCATGCTAGTGACGCGAGACAATAATACATTCAATATCGGCGAGATCCCGAACTGCCAGAATCTTAGATGGATCTAAAGCATTACAAATAAAAAGACTCCTTATTGGAATATTGGGAAAATCTAAAAGTCCAGTGGAGGAGTTCCAGAATTCTGTCAATAAAGCCGTATTACGATTACGGTTTATGTTTTTATGGCGCTAATTAAAAATCTTAATTATTAAAATATTGTATCATTTTTCATTGATCTAAATCCATTATTTGAATACCACTATATCTCTAACGATTTAAAGTAATGATCAAAAGCTTATTCGTGAATTATTATTATTAGAATTCGATCAGCCGATTTTGAAAAAAAAATCGATCGACTAAGCCAAAAATTAACTTTAGCCGATTTTTCTCATTATTGGCCAAGATCACTAACTTAAACTACCGATTTTTCCTTTTTTACTTTGTGGCGAACTTTCTGATATATCATGGGCATCTGTAAAAAATTTTCTCTTTGTCCCAGAATTGGGTGTACCCGGCACATTTATGTTTTCATCGTCTATATCGACCGTGTCGTCGTATAACATTTCTTCTTCCTCCTCCTCATTTCGTCCATCATCATCACTGAAATCTATCTCATCTTCTTCGCTGTCTCCAGCACAAACAATAGGTTCACTTATATCTTCTGCTTGACCCCAGTGCTCTCTGTCAACTTCACCACCGTAATATACGAATAATTCTTCACCTTTTTTAATATCCCGTTTCGTCCAACAAATGACTTGATTAACCTCACTTCCTTCTAGGAAAACCATGTTTCCAAATGGATCCTCATTCATGAAATGGAAAGGACAATGTATTTTACCATTCGGATCTGTAAATGGTTCACCTTTATCGTCAGTTGCGTCGAGAATTGTATGTTTATATCTCATGGAGTAATGCGATGCTCTGCCAACTTTATCCTTATTCTGGTCAAATTCATCTTCCATCGTTGGAACGCCAAAATAGAAGCCTAACGGTGTTGCCATTGGAAGATTACGTTTGGCAAACAATCCGTTACCGGCATTAGGAATTGTAGATGGACGAATTTCAACTACATCATTAAGGTTTTTTGGAACACAACTAAGATCTAGTCCATTTAGAAGTATATCTGTCGACACAAGTGCACAAGATTCATTTCCACTGGAATAATCATCATTTTGCTGCCTTTTTTTGGAGTTAGATGCAGACTTTTTCTTATGTTTTGTACCGTTAGTTGAATTTTCAATATTCTGAGAATTTGATGATGTAGACTTGACTGTGGCTCTCGGACGTTCGCGTTCTTTATGCACCCCTGGTCGCAGGGGATAAATGCATAAAAATCCTTTAGATTTACATTTTGAGCAAGACGGTAGTTTCACATCGCAACTCGTATCAGGTGCGCAACGCCGGCATCGCAGGTGTTGAGGATTACTTGCGCCTACACTTAGCATGACTGCTCGCCCGCAATTTATTAGTTTCGTACCTAATAATTCAATAAAACATTAATAAGTAATAAATAATATTAAGCAAGGACTAAACTTACTAACCTTGCTTGTTTTTTTTCACACGCCCAAAGCATAGTGGCCAATCATGTTCAATTAATTTCTTCATCCAATCATTATAATGTCTTATAGCATCATCAATGTCCTCAGGTATGAAAGCAAGTTTGTAATATGACGTTTGTGAACGGTCTTTTTTGAACTGTATAAAATATTTGTCTGCGTTGGTTGTCAAGCATGAGCTGGCCGAATTTCTTGGTGTCTAATGTAAAATAAGAAAATTGTTAATAAAGCAATTCAAAAAAAAAAAAACACACACACACATAAATCTGGGTATGATTTCTTATTACTACGAATGGAATATGAACTAATAATACAAGTTATGATATTAAACAAGTAACAAACCACAAAGTCTCGACATTATTCAAAATCGATAATTTTAGTCACACACCTGACCAGTAAAACATCGCGGTAAGCCTGTTTCCGCACTCAATTTTTCGTCTAAAGCCAATGCGGCATCAATCAAGGCTGTACGTGACATCGTGTGGTCTTTAGCATTTTGTAAAGTTAAAAGCATCATATGTTGTTGATTGTGCCACCTTGGTCTAAGTAATGGTGGTTTAAGCCGCGGTTGGCGATTTTTTCGGTTTTTCTCAAACTCTTCAGTTCCAACTCTATCCTCATTTTCTAAAGGTAGCCCTTTTGGAAAATAAAATAGAAAAAGCTCTTCCATATCTTCCTTATCGTAGTTTGATATATTAGGTTTTATGAGATCAAAAAATTTCAAGCCCTTCCCGTTGGCCACATCTTGTATACGGGAAAAGAAATATTCTACACTGGTTTGAATTTCTTTATCCATATATAAATTCCTTGAAATGTCGTTGATATGAGGATAGACAACGTATACATTACGGTCAGAATTATATTTTGCGGTACAATCTTTGAGAAAGGTTGAAAGTGCTTCACGTGTACCGATCCAATCCCTGTGAGATTGTGCAAGGACACTTCTAGCAACATTAAATAGATCCGGGTGAATCTCGATCGAGGACGATCCATTCGGAGTATCCTGAGGTGCTAATGTCTCAATCATTATTTCACGTATTTTTTCTGCTCTGTCACCAGTTGCACAATCAGGATTAGGTGAAATTGTGAGTAATTTTTCTACCAAACCAAATCGACCCATATCATCGAGCTTTGATAACCTATTGATCGCAGTTGCGAAGTCTTCCAGCGGAAGTGGAGACAAAACCCTTATAGCAATGTCTTTAACGATGTCCTCCCAAGCTTTTTCGACGGTTAAACCTTTCTTTAACTTTGGGCCAATTCGAGGTTGTAGCCATTTTTTCAAGACATCAGATAATTCTGCATCTTTACTTTCTTTACGTTTTTCATGGTTATTACTAGACATCATTTTAAACAATTTTTACGCGAACTTTGCTACTGGAAAATATAGTTCGCGACGTATATATGTATATCTACTTATATCTGTATAAACTTTCGAATTGTTTGAATTGTTCATTTTATATACTTGTGATATTAATCACGTGCTCATAAATACAGTATATCCACTAACCGATGATCACGTATATCAATTGTTTATATTATGTACTACTTGAACTTTGTTTTTAGAAGAGTCCGGTTAATTTTTGGAGAGGCGATCTTCAAACAACTTGATACTTTCAGATGGCAAGCATTTTATTTGTGTTGATTTTTCTTTGATACGCGTCAAACTAAATGAGTGCTTACAGATTTCATCACTTTAAAGGAAACTTCGACTTCAAGCTTATTATCTGGGGCTGCACCCTTTGCGATCTCAGAAACCCTGGAGCCAGATGTTGAGGCTGGTCAAGGAATGAAGATCAAAAGTAATACTACACCAACAGCGCAAACAGAAACTGTACAAACAAGTATTAACATTCAAAGTCAAAATCAAAACCAAAATCAAAACCAAAATCAAAATCAAAGTCAAAGCATTTGGGAACAGTCCAGGTAAAGTGTTATTAATATTTAAACATACATTATATCTTTCCTTAAAATGCCTTTGATAATAAAAAAATTAGATCGTAAAAAGTATTATTAAAAATTTTCGTAATTACATCTATTGATGAATTTGTTTCTGTCCAGCCATCCAGTAGCGCTAGCTTTCCACCTATTATTTCGTTCAGCAGCCATACTTCTCTACTTATTTGGAGGCTTTTTCACCGATAATTTTCCTTTAGTATTTATTATCTGCGTGTTATTATTGGCTTTTGATTTTTGGACAGTTAAGAACGTATCTGGAAGATTATTGGTCGGATTAAGATGGTGGAATGATATTCAACCCGACGGAACTAATGTTTGGATGTTTGAAAGCCGTGATGTAGGTTTTTTTTTATAAGTTATCTAAAAGCCAAATCAATAATAATTTAATTGTGTTTTTTATAGCCATCGCGACCAGTCAATCCAACAGATTCCCGGATTTTTTGGATTTCACTTTATGCGACAGTAGTTATATGGATCTTTTTTGGGTTCTTTGCTATATTCAAACCAAGTTGGCTTCTTATTGTTGTCGTCGCAATAACCTTGAATTTAGCTAATGTAATTGGTTACACACAATGTGATAAAGATGCCAAACGTAAGTGGGCAACAGGCTTTGCGGCGAGTGCAGCAGCATCAAATCCAAGTCTTGTGGGAAAACTATTTTCAGCAGGATTGGGAAGATTCTTTAGCTAATTTGATTATATATATATATATATATTAGTCTACTACATCTTTCAGTCTAATTTGTATTATAAGAAGACTACTTCACTTTCATTAGTCATTAGCTATATTTTAGAAAAAAAAGTTCTTATTATCATGAACTAGTTATTTTAATAGAAGAAAAAAAAACTCCTGGATAGATAGTAAAATATCAATTATATTTGTTAATACTCAAATTATCATAAATATAATCAGCCATAGTTCGTTTTACATAATATTGAATGTTAATAATTCTTTTATAGTGTAATTTTATTAATTTATCGGAGAGTTCTTCTTTGCCATATAGTATAAGATGACGAGATGACAACGCAAACATAGTACTGTGCAATATAATAGTGAATTAAAGTTTATTGATTACAGTACTTGTTTCAAATTACAATTTCAAAGGATATTCGGATTTTTAATGACCCTGGCCGTTCAATATTTATTGGCTAGACTTGTACGATCCTTATCATCATAGACTAGCCTAGTCAGTTTTTCATTCGCAGAGCTATTGCTGTATTGCTTAATGATTATTAAAGCTTCTATTGTTAATGTTACTACTATTAATTATTTTATTTCAAGTATCCTTTGAATCGTCTAGATCTACTACGATATAGATTACAATCCAATATAATTTGATAGCTTAATCACAGATTAATCACGAATTTCCAGGCAAATTTGCCTGGAAAACGGGTTAAGGGATAACGATAAGCACCATTGTAAATTCGCTTAAACTCGACAATTCAATTTACAAAGCCTTACTCGATGTCGTCAGAGACTTTTATGCATATAGACAGTATATATTAAAGTCATAAGAATTTTGTTGTGCTATATAATAATTAAAAACTAAAATTTTTATGCATTAATTGTAATCCGATTATGGAAATATTTATATCCTTGAAACATTGGTCTCCAAGCCCACTGTTGCATGGTCCTCGCTCAGCACTTTCCAGTTGCTTAGCTAGATCGACATGTTATAAACTCGAACGAGCGTTGAAAACTATGCAGTCAATCAAAAATGTCACACAGCATGTTATTACAAATCAATAATTGATGCATCTAAAATTTCATAAATAAATTTCGCTTCCCAGCCTTTAATTGGCTGGAACGTATCATCTTAACAAATAGGCCCTTTATTGTAAGTCTCTTATCATAAAGTTTATGAAGTTGACGCCCAATAATACAATGATCATATAACGAATATTATTATATCTGATTAAACTTGCAAGAACGTCAGGGAAACAAAATTTATTTAAAGTTTCATCGCGATTTATTATAACTTTTTTTAATGATAAAAAAGCTTATGAATTATTATCATTATAAGAAATCGATCTATTGATTTTGTAGCTTAGCCGATTTTTTTTCATTACTGGCCAGAATCCTAGAATTTATACCTTTAAAAAATGTAGAAAATAATGATTATAATAATATTCGACCATTTAATTAAACGAATAGACAAATAATGGAATCAAAATTTACCACAGTTCCAGAAGAAGAGGCAATACGTGGCCAAAGGTCAGCGCATTCTTTTCCCACGGGACCAGTGATGGCAGAACCTTTCATTTCTCCTTTGGGGTTTACAATAACACCGGCGTTATCTAAAAATAAAATATTTAGCTATGTATCGAACAGAAAAATCAAAACTACGGATCAATAGTCACCTTCAAAATAAAGAAAAACACCATCTCTCCTACGCCAAGGTTTTCTTTGTCGGATTACAACAGCGGGCATGACTACATAAGTCAATTAAATAAAGTATGATAAATATATCTGCGACAACATGTACGACATGTAATTATGCGCTCTATTTTCACCTTTTTTTCTTAAATCAGGTTTGCCTTTTTTTACTGTGGCCATGACCATATCTCCAACTCCAGCTGCCGGCAATCGATTCAGTCGACCATGGATACCCTTTACAGAGATGATATACAAATTTTTTGCTCCAGAATTATCGGCACAATTCATGATTGCACCAACTGGAAGACCCAAGGTCATTCGAAACTTGTTACCAGAAGCTGAAAAAGACGTAATTGTCATTTTTAATATAAAATAAGTGATTTGCGTACGCAATAAACCATTAAAAATAAATTATACTTACCACCGCCGCGTCCTATCAAAGATATATAGTAAAATATATTTAACAAAAAATTAGTCTCCATAAATAAAGCCTACAAATAATGTCTCTGAAATAAGGCCATGCAAAATTAATTAATTGGTTTTCATAACCCGGCCGGGTCAAAATTTGAAAACTTTTAAAAAAAATTTTTATATGTTTTAATAACCGGGTGGGTTTTAAAAAAAAATTTTATATA